CTGGCTGCTGGGGTCACAGTGAAACAGACCCAGTTCCTGTCCTTGGGAGAGAGGCCACAAACTGGTGGCAGATAAATAGCCAAGTTCCAGGGCTCCGAAGGGGCCGAGGGACTGTTTAGAGGGGTCCTCGGGAGCTGCCACACCCCGTAGGCCTTGAAGGATGAGAAGGAGCCAGCCTGCCAAGGTCAGGAGGAGGCCACTCTGAGCAGAGGTGGCAGCTGTGCAAAGGCTGCAGAAAGCAAGGCTGGGAAGAGTGAGCTGCCGAAGCCCAGAAGGCAAGGTGGGGCCAGGCGCAGCTCGCTCCAGCCTTGCGTCTGCGAGGCCAGGGTTTCCATCTGAATTTTCATCTGAGAACAAGGAAAAGGCACAGAAGGGGCTTAAACCCTGTGAGCAGCATGGCCAGGTTTGTACTTTTAAAAGACGGGTGCTAGATAAGGGTGGGAAGCGGGGTGGAGTGGCAGACCACAGACCTGGCAAGGGACGAAGCAGCTCGGTCAGGGCTGTGGCCGTGGGGATGGGAGGCATGGATGAGTCAGCTACATCTTGGAGAAGAATCTAGAGGACTTATTGATGGGTCCCATGTTGAAGTGCCACTTCCATCTGCCCCTCCCTAGTGGCTTTGGGGGAATCGGGGGAAAGGCTCCCTTTCTCCGGTGGATGCAGCACCAGGAACACCCCTCCAGCCAAGCACCCAGCACAGGACACCACCCACAAGAGCCTCCCCCAGAGGCCCCAAGAAGAGAGCCCTCCAGGTTTCTGCTTGAGCAACTTTGGACTCGCAAAGCTGCGGAGCCTGTGTGAACCCAAAAAGAGCCCTGGGCTCTGCACAAGGTTTGGGGACCATTTCAACATGGTGATTCTACCCCTGCCCCCAGCTGTGCGTGAGGTCTCTTCCTTCACTGCCCAGGCACCAGGCTTTTTACAGGGCTCACTGCATTATACACAACTAACCTTATGAAGAAACGCAATTTTAAAAAGCCCCGGAAGCTAATGGTAAAACAAGACTGACATTTAGCACTTAAATAAATGCAAGTTCTAGAACACCATGGACAAAATGAAAGTAAATAGTGACAGAATGTGAGTCATGACTGCACTCACCTCGCAGTTTGCAAAGTTCATAAACAAAGCATCCTCCCAAATTCAGAGCCGGGGCCTGGGTGTTGAGTACTAATTAATCAGCCTTCAACTCTATAGCACACAAAAGGGCCTGTGTCCTCGTTAGCAGAGCCATAAGGAAGACTCAGCTAACTGGCTGTCTCTTCATTATCTGGAGTTCACCCAAGACTGCAATAAAGTGCTTATCACCAGAACCGAGCATTCATTCCTGTGTTTTTGGAAACAAATCACTTCACTGCCAGTGTCAACATGAATTTTATATTTAGGGTAAAGGCAAAACGAAATAGCTTGTACACATAAGGGCTAGTCACTTTCTCTCTTGTAATGGTTTTTGGTGAAGACCCCATGTCATCTCCTGGCCAGCTGCTCTCTGAGGGCAGAGGTAAGCCTTATTTCTTATCCCCCTGCATTTGGCCCAGGATGTAGTAGGTGCTCATTAAATAACTGTTGTGTGAGTAAACGAGCATCTTTGCCAAAAGGCCAGTATCCCCCACCCTCCACCTGCTCTGCACTTCCCCAGGGCTCTGTCCTGGCAGTGGATGGACCAAAAAGGAAGCTGGGTCAGTAGACAGCTTTGGCTCCAGCCTCAGACTCCGCCACTCTCAAGCATGTGCCCATGTGAGTCATGTCGCTCATTGTGGTGTCCCTATCTCTAAAATGGGAGCAGTAGCCGTTCTCCCCCTTTTGCAGCACCTGGAAAGGTGCTCTGCGAGTATGAGGTGATTCCCATCATGCCATAGAGGGCAGTTCTGCAACTGAGAAGGCAGGTTAGTGCAGGACTGTGTGGAAAAAATGAACTATAACTTACTCTCGGAAAGCTAGGCAGGTCAGCAGAGTGGAGTTAGAGATATAATTAATGACTGCAAAGTCACAGAGAAAAAGGTCACTCAGGCTGTACTCTCTGCACATGGTAAAGAGATCGGGGCACAAACTATGGAGCCAGCAGATAACATAAATATGTGAATTCCCTGTTATAAGGCAATAGGGAATGGTGGGGCCTGTGGCCAATTCGAGAGAACACTCATGCTCTGCCTAAGGAATTTGCATTGAAAAAATTTAAATATATGCCTCATCGGACAAAACAAAATGCATCTATGGTCTGCCGGATGAGAGTTTGAGATCCCTGAAGATTGTGTTATGAAGCATGTCATTTTATTCTGTTGCTTTGACATCTGGGGCCTTGCTGACACTGGAGGGACTGCCTCTCCCAGGGCTAGGTAATTCCTAGCAATTAAGTAAACAACTGGAGTGTGCCTTTCATATGCAAACCAACCAATCCAGAGTATATAATCCAGGTACCCACTTTATCCTGGCGCTCACACTCTGGGCCACCATCTACCTGCCCTAATCACCCCAGGGCCAGGTACCAGACAACTAGAGACAGTCCCTGTGCCCCAGAACATGCTGAAATTATCCAAAATAGCCAATTCTAAGCCTACTTGCCCTGCTCACCTTTCCCAGGGAAACCACAATGAAGGCTCCTGCCCACGTTTTCCCCTCACTCTGTCTCCTGACCGACCCTGGTGCTTTCCCTAGTGGTTCTGCACGACGAGGCCTGCCCCTCCTCTTGGGAACTGTAAGTAACCACCTGCCTCTCGAATGCAATTGTCTCCTGACCTGTTGGCCTCACTGAAACCCCTGTCCACTCCACTGGGGCATGGATCATCACGGCTGCTTTAGCCCTGTCCCTCCCACCTCCTGCCAGCTCCCGAATCTCAGCACCTACCACAGTCCCTAGCACATTGCAAACACAAGTTAAATACTAGCCGATGGATGGATGGATGCGTGGATGCGTGGGCAGACAGACAGACAGAGGGATGAACGTGGAGGGCTGCGCAGAGCGTCTATCTGGCTACAAGGATTCCCTACATTTCAGTCTCTCCTTTTGCAATTGCCTCAGGAAACCGATTTCTGTAGATGCCTCGGTTTTGTGAGGGGCGTAGAGGGAGCAGTCAGGCAGGAGCAGGCTAGCAGAAGGGGCGTGAGCTGACACTGGTAGGAGTAAGCTGTGGTTAAACTTCTGCGTCTCACTGTCCCACTGGCATTCAGCTTTTCAGGTGGCTCTCTGCTGTTTCCTTTATTCAAATGCTTACAAAGAGGTCACCACCTCAAAGGGTCTGCAAACCCAGTGGTAAAGGAGAAGTCAGAGAGAGGCCTCGTAGCCCACCTCCAGCCTCTGGGACCTTCCACGACAGGCTCTGCAAAGGGAGCCAAGCAGGTTGCCCCTAATCTTTCTACATCTGCAATGGTGCAGGGGGAGGGTCTCCATTGCTGCCCTTTTCTGGTTAATAAACTGAAAGTTGAGCTAGAAAGCCTGTCTTGATTTTCATCTTTACTCTTTAAAATGCATCAACCTCCTCTACTTGACTGTGACTGAATTTCTCATGACAGTGCCCTTAGGTGTCATCACTGTTTCATCCCCGGGTTCTGGAGCTATGCAGTGAGGACGGATGCAGGAGGCCTATCCTGGAAGTGCCTAGGGAGGGTGGGGACGCCCTGTGTTTGCTGTTTCTGATGAATGCTCAGTTCTCAGCAGTGAATAGCTCCCCAAAGGCATCCTTTTCCAGGCCTGAGATGGAAGGACAGGAAACATTCAGCCACAGGGAAAGGACAACGAGGCTAGGGAATCTGTGGGACTGCCCAAGGGGTCACAGTAGGAGAGGGCCATCAGTAGGGTGACTGCAAACCAGAACAGAACCAGTTTATGGTTTATAATAGGCATTATCCTAGTGTAATTATTCAACTCACGTCCCCTTCTCTCTCAAAAGTGTCATGGTTTGATTGACAAATTATACAATCACCCTCAACATCAGGGAATTTTGCAAATGGGAAAGCCTGAGAAGTTCACAAGCAACAGAGGCTAGTTGCTTTGTTTGTGCAAATAGGAGTTGAAGGCTTAGCAAACATGCTGGGGAAGGTCTGGTAGCAGCATTCAGTCCTGCAGATCACAGGGACATTAGTCAAAGGGAATGGAGCCTGACCTTGGCCCTGGAGGGCCCCACTCTAAAAAAGGAGTCACCTGGACTGGCTGCCTGCTCCACTCACAGCCTCTCCACCCAGGAAGAGCAGCTCACAGACAGCAGGGACATTAGTCAAAGGGAATGGAGCCTGACCTTGGCCCTGGAGGGCCCCACTCTAAAAAAGGAGTTACCTGGACTGGCTGCCTGCTCCACTCACAGCCTCTCCACCCAGGAAGAGCAGCTCACAGACAGCATTTCTCTTCCCTTGTTGCAGTCTCAAGCCAGAGTTAGCAAGTCTAGCAAAGGGTAGGAGCAGAGAGGAAAGGGTTACGATTTGTTTCCAGATGGGCTATGGCAGAAGGGGACCATCTCCACCAACTCCATCTTCGGCACATGCCTTCTGCTACAACCCCATTCTATACCACCATGAGTTGCCATGGGGATCCTGAACAATTTCCCATTTGTCTTTTTTTCCTTCCTGGTTGAGATCTTGTTTCTGTCAAGATGAACTATTTATCTGTGTTGCCTGAAATGTCATGGAGTGTGGGCAAAACCAGGACCAACCCACACAGAAGAAATAATAACCCTTTGATAACGCTCACACACAAACCCCCCAAATCTTTAGAGGCTGTCAGTGATTAATTTTCCTTTTCCAGCCCTGAACTTGCTCTCAAGAAGTATTTAACCCAAAAGGCGACTACAGATAATACGCCCAGCAGTCTGAGTTCGTCAGATCAACTCATGCTTGCGTTAATGTGCCAAGTGAATCTGTGGACGTGTATGACCTCTCACCAGACAGGCAGGGCAAAGACTTAAAAGATAAAAGGTGGCTATATCTTTCACCTGTGGCCTGGCATGAAGTTTAATCAAGCTATAAAATGCTCAAAGTGTCCAGTGTTGAAGAAATCTCTGTATGTTTGTTTGTTTGTTTTGTGAACTGAAACTTCAAAGCTATTTGTTTTTTATGTAAGATTAGCCATCATGCAAAACTTACTGGTCAAGCAGTTAATAAAATACACATATCCCATTGAAGGGTTTTGTATGTTTCAGTCTTTGCAAATAACAAAGCAATTATAAACCCTGCAACAGTCCTGAGAGTAAGTTCCTTTGCTTCTTAAAGCTGCCAGTCCTGGCTCTTTGGAGGCTCATGTGTTATAAATTCTGGAAGCTCTTTTAGCTGCAGTCTGAGCATCAGAAGGATCGTCTTCCTCTTCCTCGGTACGCTTGTGTTTTAAAAACAAGTCAGACTTTAAGAAGCGGCTGTAGCTGTCATACTTCATGAGATTGAAGATCTAAGGAGGAAAAGCAAAAGAATCTGAAGGCTGAAGCTAATCCAGTTCGTGAATCATCCTATCAAATATTTATTAAATACCTACCACATGCCAAAGAATACAAATATGAGTACCCAGAAACACACAAGGAAAGCTGAAGTCGGTCATGTGCTAGACAAGGCAGATGTCCTGGATGTTTTTGGTTCTTATGCAATAATCCCAGTGGAATATACAGGTTAGAGAGTCACACAAACGAAAGCATCTTTTCCAAAGAAGTATAGATTCACACAGCACTGATTCATACCCTCAGATCAAGAGGTCCTTTAAGAATCTCCACTTAATTTGGATAGATTATGCAAGGACGTATTTCTCCAACAGCTTGAGATAGCAGTATAGAAACCACTTCTGTGGAAGCAGTGGTAATAAAAGTCACTGTCATATCAGATGATGCCAATATTGTTAAGAGCCCCCAGTAACTCTGGCATCCAAGATCTCAAACAAACCTGTTATCATGCCAAGAAACAAAACAAGGTTTATTCAGTACAGGGCAGGGGAGTAAAACTACAGTCTCAGCAGATAGAGGTTTGGAAACAAGTCCCAGTGAAAGAAAGCAGCTGTCGGCTGCAGAATGCGAACACCTGCGCAATCAGACAGGCGGGAAGCACTGTCTCTAGAAAGCAACTAAGGTGTGCTAAGTGGGTGAGGAAGACCCTGACAGAGCCTAAGTCCTCCAGGTTAGAGGTGCTCAAAGGGCTGTCCCCAGGCACAGGAGCCTCTTCTGGATTCCACTGGACCTCTCTTCTGGCCACGATCCCTATACCCAGCACCCACTCTCCCCAACTCCTGCCCAATCCTAGGCCATCCGTCTTCCTCCCTTGCCCTACAAAAGGGACAGGGGAAGGAGAAGCAAAAAGGAAAGCATTTTCCAGCTGTCAAGGGGTACGATCTCTTTTCGAGAAATCTCTCACCCTTTCTCTCTCTCTCATACCTTTTGACTCAACTCGCAAGACATTCTACAGACTAAAACCCCACGTGGGGCACCCTGGTACCTTCAGTGAAGGCACTAACACAGGCTCAACCAAGTGGAAAGTTCCAGGGGTGTCTAGAATGTTGCTCATTGGCAGGTGGTGCTATCAAGTGGGTGGTAAAACCCTGACATCTTTTAAACTCGCCCTCTCCCAACACACGCATAAACTATTTTGTAAATTAAATGTCTGATGGATTCTAAGGACTCAGAACATCACTTGGGGGATGAGAGGTAAGGATTGAAACCTTAAGCCTTTACACCTTCGTTTTCCCAAGATGACTTCAACCACAGGAGAACCGCCTAAGTCATTTTGCAATATGCAGAGTCCTCAGCCCAGGGAAAGATTTAGGACTTTAGGTTTTCTTTAAGCTATTAAACTAGTGCCTGCCCTTGCCCTGGTGCCTTCTGGTCTTGCCCCAGCTCCCGCCGCTCAGAAAGGCCGAGATTCCTTGAGCCCCCATCCTATCCCTCTCTAGAGCAGTGATTTATTGTGTAGCAATCTTGTAATCCTAGATGGGATACAATTTGTTGAGGTTTGGGGAAAAAAAAATCCCAGAAAATACAAAAATGACAGCCAGGGGTGAGGTGGGGGATGAGGAATGTCACTTTCCTTTCGTGGCCTCCACAGATATGCTAAGCAAGTGTCATCCCTCCCCATCTGGGTTATTCAACCCTTCCAGCCACAGGAGCCACCAAAGGGCACTCTCTGATGCCCACCTAATTCCAAATCTGGGATGGATGCCCAAAGTGTGACTAATGAACCCAGCTGGACCCAGCCCTGCACGCCCCCCACCCCCACACACACCAGGTCCACGGCAGATGGGACCCACCACTCTGAGCAGGATGCGGTGCGACCCAGTGTCTCGTCTGAAGGCTTCCCGTGTGGGAGAGGAACATCCTGTTTGCCTGCAGTGGCTCTGAGGCTCAAACTTCAAAGGAGAGAAGAAAAAAGGCCAGGCTGGAGGCACCCAGGCCCAAGCGGAGGGGGCAGGGCAGGCAGCTGCTTCAGCTCGGGAGGAGCCCTCAGGAGTGCAGAGGGACTGGCAGGACTCACTCTGGGAGACCCCCAGGAGCTGCAGGGTCTTCTCCCCACAGCCCTCCACTGGTGCCAGCAAGCTTGAGGGGAGGGGGCTGCGGCCTATTTAGTAAGGGCATAAGGGCTACTCCCTGCTTGGGGCAGGTTCAAAATGCTCCATGGGTGCAGAAGTCCTTCAGGCTGCTGCAGTCACCCGGAGACAGCTGTGGCCATCAGACCCAGAAAGATCTGAGCTCTACAAGGGGTGCACAGGGCAGGCTTCCCACTGCCCCTGGCAAAGGGTCCCCTGGGCACTCAGGAGCACATGGCAACAGGCGCTCCCATTACAGAGCTCCTCATGGAGGGTGCTCAGCAAAGATGACTTGAAGGATAGAGAACGCTCCCTAAAATATCTTCCAACAAAGCAGCCAGAGGTAGCGCACCCAGTTACCGACCACAGCCTTATTTATCACAAGGCAATGGCCATGACTGCGGTCCAACGTTTACCAACTGAGTGACTAGAAACCACCCCATGTGCAGCAGCAGCAGGCTGGGGATGTGAACCAGGTAGTTCCCATGCTGCCAAGAGCTCCTCCAAACACGTGCCAGGCTGTGAACATTAATCCCCACTGCAGCCCTGTGAGGATGTTGATTTTACAGAGGAGGAAACAGGAACTTAGAGGCTCCGTGCTTTGCCCCGATGGTGAGTGTATAAGTCAGCTCCGGCTGCTATAACAAGGAGCACAGAAATGTACCTTCTCAATCCTGGAGGCTGGAAGTCCAAGAGCAAGGTGTTGGCAGGGTTGGTTTCTTCCAAAGCCTCTCTCCTTGGCTGTAGATGGCCATCTTCTTCCTGTGTCTTCACGTGGTTGTCCCTTCCTTATAATCTCCTCTTCTTATACGGCACCACTCATGTTGGATTAGTGCCCATGACCTCATTTAAAATTAATTCCCCCTTGAAAGACCTTACTTCCAAATATAGTAACGTTCTGGGGCACTAGGGGTTAGGAGTTCAACATATGAATTTGGGGAAGGAGGGATGATTGAGCCCATAACAGTGACCAAGAGACAGGCGGGATGCAAACCCTCGCAGGCTAGCTCTCCAGCCCACGCCCCCTAACTGTTAGACTACACTGCCACTCATGTGGCAGAACAATTTGCAGTCCTTAAAAATGAGATCTGCAAAATAGTTTAACACAAAAACTGTCCATGAATGTTAAATGACTAAACACTAAGTTTTTAAAATGCACTAAATTTAAAAACAATGATCCCAAATATGTTCTTTAAGAGTGTGTTTGTGTGTATAAATAGGAAATAAACATCCCTAAAGGTCAGTAGTGGGTTGAATAGTGTCCCCCGCAAAACTTATGTTCACTTGGAACCTCAGAATGCCACCTTATTTGGAAATAGGGTTGGTTAAGGATCTCAAGATAGAATCATCTTGCATTTAGGGTGGGCCCTAAA